TAATTTTTATACCATATCCTATGTACTGTATTAGCCAAACGGATTTTGCCTATTGTTTTGATTTTTGGTTTTAAAATTTTTAACTTTTACACAAAAGAGAAGCATTATTGCGGCTAAAAATTAGGCAAAAATTGCAAAAGCTGAGGATGTCATCGAACAACAGGTATAAGACGTGTTACAGTTTATGAATTGGGAGAAGCTTTCAAAAAAAAAAAAACAACCAGCCGACTATACTTTATTGACATTCAAAAAGACAAACATTGAAGGCTATAATTCTCGAAAAATAAGAAAACAGGACAACAAAATCTAGCAGCATGTTTTCAACAAAAAAAATAACACTTATACAAACAATTTGCCGAGCATTCCTGTATACCTCGAAAAAGCCTCTGTTTCGGGCAGTAGAAAGACTATGGAAGACTGGAAAAAGGATAATCTGGACAGATGGGTTTACGTTTTCAGTTTCGAAAGCCTGGTTGCAGTTGGGAAAGAGTGTGGAGAAAGCCAGAAGAGCATCCACGAAGATTGCATTTCATCAACAGTAAAACATTCAAAGGATGTAGTATGCAAACATCGAAAATGGTAACCCAGTTTTTACAATCTGTAAACAGATTATTATAAATCAAAGCATTAGGCAAAAAATTTGTTTGGCTAATATATAGGCGAACACGATATAAAAATTACGCGGGCAATCGACTGTGTAATAATACTTTACATAAGATTTTTTTGACAAAGCAAATAATCGATTAGGTATGTCATGATCTTTATACGTCAAACAAGTTTAAAGAATTCAGTAATAAATAGAAATTTTGCCAAGAGATTTACTGTGTCTTAATCCCCAAACTTTTATTAGCATAATTTGCATTAAGTAAAATGTTTATTTTGTCGGACATCTATGGCAATTGCACCCATGGCGATACTAATACATGTCCATGATTAGCTAAATAAAGAGGTTTGTGTTATGTTTCTCCGCTAACAATAATTAATATCCTACTCATAATTATTATGACTCTTTAAGCAGATATGTTTTGTGCAATCGGTACATCAATTTCTATCACTCAAACAAATTTTCGTCGCTTACTTCAACTTGAAGCTACTAGACCACCTTCTTTCGAGGCAAAGTGAGATTACGAGAAAAAACATTCCCAGCATGAACATATCCACACGAACCTTGTTAATTAATAACTGTTATTTTGTCTTGCTTTCCCCAATTATGACGATAAATGTAGACATCAAATATGCCGTATAACGTCAAATTGCATGTTTTCTTACTGTAAAAGTTAACAACCGTATAATATTACAAAAAGCAACGGGTACAAAAATTCGTTTGTTGCTAACTAGGGCGTTGTAGCAATTGTGATGATAATTCGCATTCTCTGTATTGGGCAAAGTCGTAATCTTGATGTTCCCGTAAGTCTAGTTTGATCATTTGTATTGGGATAACGTTTGCATAAAATATCCCACGATTCAGAATTTGGTCTACAATGGTATCATGTATGCCTCAATTAGAATTAATGCTGAATCAGCTGGCAATTCCTTGTATAAGTAGTCGTTCTACCAAGACACGGTTAACATATCTTTTTGTTTTCAGATACTGTTCTTATTGTTTTATTATAACGTACTGTCAATCTTAATTAATATATTGAATAATAAGCATCTATGCTATATACAATTTCCGGTTTCTCAGTACTCAATATTGTGTCTGTTAATTAACAATGAAATTTATCAATGCGTTGCATAATGACTATCGAGCCATATACGCAATGTTCAGCTTCGGATTAGACTGACTATCATGAACGACGTTCGTGGTTAAAGTTGAATCGCACTATTAAAAATTGCATCCAAGCTTATTTAACTCGTCAATTGCGATTGACTAAATATATGACAAGCTCGGAGTCTACCAATGGAATCGAATAGTCAATATTGATCGTCAAGGCAAAAAGCGAATTAGGAGAAATCGCGGATAAGGTAAAAGAATATTCCGAATGCGCTAACTATTCATTGAGAAATCTAAGAGGATCAATATTGCCGAAAGTTTAGATTTATTTATTAAAGATAATGAAAAATTAATTGAAGCGACGTTCATCCGGACTCACCCCTTATTAACTAATGAGTGAAAAATTTTGCTCATTCCTATTATCAGTATAATTCGCCATTATTAATAACATGCATATTAATGATACTTTGCAGCTTCCATAGATCTAATGAGCATCTCTACTAACCTCATCACATCGGTCATTGTTCTCTATCTATTTACCTTTTACCCTTTAACCTTTTTACTTAACCACAAGACATGTTCGCAACCAGCAAAAACTCCTCACTGCGTATCTGCTAGTCAGGAAATTCCAATGTCCAATTTACAGAAGAATAGAAGAACTTATAAAAAGACTGACAGATATGTTATGGGACATATTTGTTTAATATTGTTCTGCAAGAGATACGTCCTGACTGTTACCAGGTTTAAGCTCGAATAGCCTCCTTGTTATAACGCTTGTGACCATTAAGCAATTTATTATTTTCGGGCGCATTGCTTGCAAATCTCTGTAAGCGATGGTTAACAATGATACTGTTAATAACATGTTCCGTAGGTCAATGCTCTCATACAAGTCTCGTGCCTATTGTACGATATTAATCTGTGTCTAGAGGCAAAAATCCCTGTACAACGCCTGCGTGTGTTATCAAAGCTATTATAGCATAAGCATTCAAATATTTTAGCTTAACAGTTATTTTTAATGTCTCGGTATTGTTTCAATCTCCACTTAATTTTTTTTCAAATTGCAGAATTTCTTCCATTCTTTTACTGCGTTCAATTAAGCTTTTTTACTTAATTGCCGGGAAAAAAAAGTTGGGATCCTTAAGATTATTATCATTCTTTGAGAATAACACTTTATCACCTTTTCTTGTCCCAAGAAGGTATGACTGCTGTCGGTAAGAATTTTAGCAGAGTAACAATAAAACAGCCCGCTGTCAAGAATTGATAATTAATTCTCTGAGCAAGTTCTCGACAAGAGTAGTTTTACCAGGACCAACCGGGCCATAAACGCCATGTTGATTTTTATATCAAATATATTTTCTTCTATTCAAGCTTATTTTTAAAATAAATAGTTTAGGTTTTAACATGCCTGAGAAGAATTAAAAACTATTAATAGAGAGTAATTATATACAATTTTACACCAACTAGAATTATTTATTCCTTTTGGAAGATAAACACTTGACAAAATATATTTAATGCTTGTACCGAGCCAACACCGCGGAGGAACGTTAGCTCTTTCAAACGAGGGTTGGCTACCTCTATTACTGCTTAAATTACCAATACAATTAGTGATGTTAAATTAAGTTTATATACTCACGATTCTTATTTTCGATTGATTCTCGATTGTTAATTACACTGCCGTTATAACACTATCCTCTATCGATGAAACGGTTTCGATAGCCCGTAGGACATCGGGGAATAATAGCCTCGATTCGCCAAGGTCTCTTGCATAACGAGTGTTCCATATAGTGATTCATATGTTTTTTGGTAGTGTACCATTCGTCCAACACATGAGATAATCCAAGTAGTAATGCTTCTCCTTCCCTTATTGACCAAAAGCTTCAGCGCAGGATTCCCAGGTAGGGTACCCCTTACATTATTATTACGCATCTCAAACTAATTGTTTACGCGAATGCAGAGCCAATCAATACTAATACCAATCAGATTGTTTATCATTTTATATAGAACTTCGTTAGAATGCGGATCAGGATACGATTTCTGATCTATTATAATATTATTAGTAAATTTCCCTTTATAAAAGAACAATCTATAAAGAAATAAGCCAAAAACAATTTTTAATATCTTTTACCTTGACAAGCTTGCTGCATTTTTAGTATTAATGAGTGACATCTTCACAAACAACCAATAACATTGAAATGGTGCTCGCACGTGATGAGATGCGAGTTATATTAACTATAACGGGACAATTAAAGATAATGTGCGCTTTCGCGTTTCTTATAAAATGCTCTTGTATATTGCGGTACATCATATGTGGGTCGTTGCAACAAAGCCAGACTGCGTGCCAATGAATTATAATTATTAAGTGCCGCAGTGCGTATTAAAGCTATTTAGATGCAAAGCACCAGGTTTATCAAGCAATTGATCAAGTTTGCAGTTTTTTATTGTAATAGTTAAACGGCATTACTTCCCAGGCATTGTGAAAAATCTAGTTCGAATACACAACACAACTCAATATCCGATATTTTTTTGGAATGCATAATTTAAATTTAGCTTATCACTATTATCATTGTCTTTGTTCTTCACATACTGGTACGTAGGAAGGGCAATGCAACCCAGAGGGTGAAAGCACATCCCGCAAACAGAATGGTGACAGCAACTCTTTCTGCCTTCCTGCAAAGAAAAAACGGTACCATTCACGAAGAAAGGATCATCAAATCCTGGGAGGAGAGGTGGGCAACCATCCCAAAAGGGGGAGGGAGTATCATCGCATAGAAAAGGTATCTCCTACCAAAACACTCTGAGATACCTTCCGGGTACATACTTTATTGTAGTCGCGCTTCTGTGAGGAAGAAAGTGATGAAAAATTTTGTTTGCGTCAATTTTGTTCATGTCGTATTAGTACATTTTTCGTTAGTTTGAAAATTCAAAAGCTATGATTGGCCAGATAAATATAAAGCTTCTGACCCAGAATTATTAAATCATCCTTACAAGCTTGACCTGACTTTAAGTAAGTATTTCAGGACCGGGAAGGAGCACGAAGAAGCGTAGAAGATATTATCGAGAAGGTAGTGAGGCTGATGCAGAAAAATATTCAGTGAAACTTATTGGAGAACGGTCTAAAACAACTGTCGGACGAACGTTAGGAAAGCCATGGTTTTTGGCAGTCTTAATAATAATAGTTCACTCAAACAATATCATTAAATTCTTTGGCCTATTATCCCTTCATTTCTTTCTCTCAGCACTCTCGTTATACCCCTCTACTATAGCTTGCTACTATCTCCCTCGGAAGATGTCTCGTTACAATAACTACAGTAATACCAAGGAAGATCCAATCACTCTACATTCATCTCGACTGGTTTCTTATATGAATGGCCATCCGCAAACTCTCTTAGGTTATGCTAAGTATTATGGCGACTCTCGAACTGCGATGCATGCGAAAATGATTGATATCGATTCATCCGGGATCGTTTTAGACGTGACAATGGAAGATGGGCAACAGGAGGAAATACACGTGAAGTTTAAAACACCATTGCGAGGATATGAGGAAGTGCGTCCAGTTTTGGAGGAGATGGCGAAAGAGGCGGAAACCGCTTTGGGTCTGGTAAGCGTCTGATTTGTGGTGAGATGATTATATATATTATAACTTTACTGACTAATTGACCCCATCACTGCTTATAACTGTTAAACATCAGCCAAGCACGCGACCTCCATCAACAACAGCACCTTCTGATCCATCTAAACACACGCCATATGTTCTTCCAAGTCTCATACCATTACTAGTCGGTTTATCTCTCATACTGTTCGTATTGTGTCTCGATCTCTTCCCCGAATACCTTCCTTCATTTATCGCTCCTTTGCGGGAAGCTCTTGGCCCGGACTTGTGCCGTGCAATAACATATTTCACGTTTACTGTACGTTCAGTAGAAACGATATTTATAACAAATGTTTTAAGAGAACGGGGAGAGCCAGATCCGGTGACCTTTGCCATGTGGATAGTGAGTTCTTTGCTGTTTGGCTATTTTGGCAGCTACAGGTTGTTCGAGGAAGGAAAGGATAAGGCGAACAAAGCGGAATAAGTAGAGAGGAGAATTAACAACAAGTCACATGCAATTTTATTAAGAGAAGAGTAGTGATGTGGGAATCGTGGCATAATCTTGTGTTTTGTGAATGTGTGAGTGAATCTGAATAAGGCGGGGCGGAGAATTTGTACAATAGCGTTTTGTTTTTTGTTTTATTTTATTGAAAGTGAACAATATAAAAAATTTCGTGTTAATGTTAAGAGAGCTTGGGATTGCTCATTTCATATATTGTTGACTGCTATCCGATACTATCAATCCATTTCGGATGTCACTCTCACAGCATACTGATACAAGGTCTTTCCAAGCAATTTATTGGTAATAACTATCGGAAAAGAGTGGGTTATGCTGTTCCCATCTAGTTATTGTGCAGGACATGGAAAACATTGGATAGAATATAAGCATTGATTATATCCCAAATTTGTTCAGCAAAGAGAAATTTAAGTGAAGATGATAGAATATGTCGAAAGCTAGCGATTATGAATATCTGCCATTAGAGAAGACATGGGAAACCATAGCGAAACACCAACTGAAGTAATTTCTATTCGCTTGTGTTCCATTGGACTCTCACCATGTAGCAGTTTTAGGTCCCCCATAGTCACAATGTACTGAATGTGAGGTAGTCTATAAATAAAAATCGTTAAGTAAAGAACTTCTGTATTACCCTTTGGCTGTCATTTGTTCGATCCAGAGGCTCATTGCTTCCTCTAACAAAAAAATTTTGACTTTACGATGTTTAAAACCTCGTTAGACGCCTCAATAGAAAGCCACTTACTGTATTTATTATTTCACTGATAGTCTCAAAACAACCTTTTTCAGTGATGTGACTAAAAAGGAGAAAATTACATATACGTGACCGGCCAATATAGGTAAATAAAAGTGATATTAGCATTAAGTAATATGATATTATTCAGGCAATCAATAATAACCAGAATTACTACCGTCTTTACATTTTATTCATAATAAAAACCTTTTGCCAAGATAGACTATCATAAACTAAACCATTTGTTCACTATTAAAATTTTTTTGCCTCATTTCGTGATTGAATACATCGCAACGAGACTTTGCGATATTATAAATATCAGACGTTTAAATTTAAAATACTAATTTATATTGATCTTGATATCAGCGAGGTACATGTAATTAGGAATAAAATCTGGATATACAAAAAAACCCAGAATTTTTACTGTAACATTCAATCGTGCATATTAATCTCCACCAATTTTAGGTCGATTTAAACAATGTAAATTGTAAAATAATTGTCAGATAAAGAACCGCTAATTTATAGGTATTCTGCACTAATCCTATTTCTTAAATTCTTTCGACATTCCTAAAACTGATGACTTCCAGACAAGAGAGAAATCGCTGAGCTATACAACGATTGTGGGATCAAGGCATTTGGAATGCTGCAGAGATTCATAAACGCAAGGTTATCTCACAGTATGATTTATGAAAACATTAAAAAAACTCGAACCGTTAACCCTAACCCTAAAGGTCTTTGCTTCTGCATAAGAGATAAGATGATTTTATACTGTTTTTCCCAAAATAATGGTCAATAATTTTATGTATACATACTCCGAAGACATCTTCCAGATATTGAAGACACGAATGGCGGTTTCAACAAGACAACAACGCAAAACATACTAGCTGCCTTGCAAAAAACTTTCTTCGGGATAACATGCTTGAAGTAATGGACTGGCCTTCTAACAGTCCTGACCTAAATCCAATCGAAAATCTCTGGAGCATTGTTAAAAGAAATGTAGAAAAGAAAATATTAGCAATTTGCGGTGTTTTATGATTGGAGTGGGTTGATATTCCGCAATCAACCCTAATTGGGTTAGTACAATCAATGAAACGCCATATTAAATTTTTTGCTAGTTTTCAGCAGTTGGGTAACCGGCGTGTCCTCGATTCGCGCCTTTTTTACATTTGATCACTTACCGTATTGCTTTCAAATGGTATAAAATTCATCTTATTTGCACCATTGGTTCTTGCGTAATGCATAATTTTGTAATTCTGGTTTTTTTTGTCCCACACTGTAAGTTTATAAGATAGGAATATTGGGGTATAATATCAAAATTCATATCTGCTGGGTAAATTTGTATATGGGGAAGTAACCACTGTTGCTAATAGGGAGAGGTTAATTTTAACGGATGGATATTAGAGAGGGTTCACTGTATCTGTTCTTATAGTCAAGTGTGTCCAAATTTGTTATAAAATCGGTTGGTCCCAATAAAAGCGTAACTACATGAGGGTTGTAACAGGAGGTGCTTGTAAAGGGGGCGACTGTATTCCGTTGGTGTCTTTGACCAAATCCTATACAGTGTAGAATGATCGGTCGTTTATACCTCTATATACGCGGGATAAATTTCGCGTAGCTTGCCAAATTTAACAGATGTTGCGTCGACAAAAAATTCATTATAAATATCAACTCGTAGCACATATTTTGTCTTGAATTGTTTTATTATTAAAATTCTTCATAAATCACTGTTAAAATGCCTTTAAAAAAACAAAAAACCTCATCTCGAAATCATCTTACATTTGTGGAAGCAAGTGGCCGCCCTAAAAAGATTCCCGGGAATACATCTGTCCTATAGAACCATTTAAAAGCATCTGGGTAGCTTGGGTTATAAAATAATGTGTCATTAGCTACTTCTATGCCGACCGAGGCACAAAAGAAAAACAGGTAGAATGGGCCGGGCCTATGCTCATATTGGAATACAACCTCTTTTTTTTTTTTTTTTATGTATCGAGTTTGAAAATAATCAATCCTCCATAAATGCACACCCTCCATATCTGTATTGTACGGTTTTTCCATTTCCCACCATATGTTATCCCACCCTCTCTGCAGGAGCAACAGCATAAATAACTAGGAGTGTATGCCTGAAATAAACTCAATTTCTATCAGGCCAGGTGAATTGTGAATCTTTGGCTTAATTTCAGTAACAGACGGATAAAGAATTTCTTTATCATTGTGAAAGCAAAAGTCATCTTTGTCCATTGTTAATAATAGACACTAGTCGTGCGTGTTTTATAAACAGTCGAGGTGGCGAACTACACATTCTAGCCATAGCATGGGTTGATCTTGAAGCCCACGGTGTGGCTTGGTAAGCATGTCGTACATAAACCTTCGTCTCCTTTCTCAGCCGCGTGAAAGATAACATGCTGACGTACCGGTGCTTCTTTTCCGCGCTTTTGTTTCCAATCTTGTATCGTCTATCGAGGCAGTTTACGCCAACGTTGAAGGTCTAGGCGTCTCATGACAGCGCTTCTTCCAACCACAATGAAAGATCGCTAAAACTAAAATAAAAAATGTTATAAAGGAGAAAAAATATATAAGTTGGGCAGTAAATTCTGACCCTCATTATCTCGCAAAAACACTCGACGCGGCCAGCGCATCCAAATATTGCTTCCACGAAGAAGCGAGTAACAAGTGCCAAGTTATTCCAGCCCTATTCAACCGTATTACTACAGCAGAAGTTGGAAGAGTCGGAACGTTTGGTATAATGTTGTTTGGCATCATATTGCAAAGTGTGAAGAAGCATGTTTAAGTATGAGTAATTACGTGAGACAATACACATCAATAAGCAACGTAATATGATTCCTGTTTAATACAAGCTTGTTTTGAGCTTGCTTGAAACTACAGATTATTTCTCGAAGCCCAATGACGTATTGCTTTTATATTATACAGCATTTGCGCCCAACCAGGAGACATCGTAATAGTGTGTGCATTAAATATTCTTTATGATACGGGGAATAATTCATTTTTCGAGTAATTTTTTAATAGTTAAGTTCAGTAAGACGGATTAGTGTATTCCTGCTATACGGATGTATTTTATCCTTTTAACCAAATTTTCTATTTATATTTGGGTCTAGGATGTTTCCGGTCAAGAATTAACGAGTAGACGTATTAAAATGTCATTGTGTTTTAAATATAAACAACATTATTCTACTCGTTAAAGGCATACGAACTAACCAATCATAGTGAAAATACTACACGTCACGGCAGATCCTTGTCCACGTGGATATTCTAAACTAATATCATACCACGTTGAGCAAGATTTATAATATACTTTAGAATGAGCAGCTTGTTTGGAAGACGTTTCATATGATGGAAGTATTCTTGCTGTATTATGGAAGTGATTTATTGGCATGCTTGCTGTATTATGTATATATGTATGTATGTATACATATCGCGCACACAGCAGTATTGTTAAGACAATATCTTCAAGCCAAATTAGCCTATAATAATAATAGATCGTTGCTCGGTAGCCAAGCGTGTCTATTACTATGTTTAACTGCATATGAATAGAGCGAGAGTAATTCTACCAATTCAACAATGTTTCACCCGTAAACACCTGTGTGTTACTGACGCTCAGACATTTTACGGTTAGACGTTCAAGTATTTGCCACCCAAACCTGCGCTCGTATGACGTGCCAACATAGATTATCTTTTAACCGTTACCTTATATGTACTAATGCTAATGCCGAACACTTTCTAATAAAGGCGCCACAATGCAGATCCTACCCTAAATCTTCTGGATATTCGAATAAACGATTAGCACAAGATAACACTGTTTTCAGGAGGCGATAAACAGTTGCGCAGTCCGCAAATGGCTCGACTCGATGGAAGGGTTTAAAATTAAATAGCTTTGCTTTCCAGCCAAACTATTTCAGCAGTGTTTATAAAATATCAGCCTTTGTGGAGGAAAAAAAAATAACGAAAGATTGCATGAACAAGGACTGTCGTTGACACCCACGACGCATAAGTGGCTGGCTACAATGACTTAGTTGTTGTACAAGAAGCGCCTCTCGTTCCCACGATGAGATTGCGATTGATAATCATCTTGAGAATTTCTGTTATAGAGGCAAAGTTCGATGTGACTCTGTAAAACTTAATCACTTTGAGCATAGCCGATCGAGTGTTTCTTCTATTTGGCATAAACATAAATGGCTCAAGCTACATCAAGTACAAGCGAAACCATCGTCGGATCTACCACCACAATTGGTAACCATTAAATGTCATTTCACTAACATGCGTCGCGTTATTGACTCAAGCCCTTGATCATATCTAGTGGAAACCACAGTTGAGGTGAGGTCGGTCGCTCCAGGCAAGACAAAGCGCCAAATAGATAACCTATACCCACCGAAATCTCATGCCTTGCAAATCAGCAAATATGGAGATACCTCTGTTTTCCAATGGGCTGAAGTGAGCACTGTACAGATACAGTCCCCCTACGATGTTATCATAAAAGTATCTGCTGCAGGTGTGAACCCTTTCGATTACAAGTTCAGAAAGGGGAATTATGCAGTCTTCGGCAAAGTCAGATTTCCGTTAGTGTTGGGATTGGAATTTTCGGTATGTACTATGATGGTATTTTACAAGTTTTAAGAATTGTTTATTAACGCCGAAAATTGCTGCTAGGGTATAGTTGTCGCTAAAGGCGAAAAAGTAAATAAAGTTCATCTGTTGGATAAAATCTGGGGTACCATCCGGGGTGGTTGTTATTCCGAGTAAGTAGTATAGTCGTGTCAGAGAAGTCGGTCAAAATTTACATATCATAATAATAGAATACTGTCGGACAGATTCATCCGAGTGAATACGGCTACAGAATATGGTGTTGCCTTGAAGCCGACATCAATTTCGCACATAGAGGCTGCAGGAGCTCCAATTGGTGCTCTATCAGCTTACGGTGCTTTAGTTACCCTCGGTGAACTTCCAGTTGGTGATAAGGCAGAAGCCGGGAAACATAAAGTCTTGATCATTGGAGCTTCCGGAGGTATTTACATGTCAGCATTTTATTTGCTAACTAATTATGGCTACCTGAGTTTAACTGGGCCCTTCGCAAACATAAAGGCGTTGGAACCTTCGCTGTGCAAATTGCCAAGGTGCTGTGTAAAGCAAAAGTTACCGCTATTTGTTCCGGGGCAAACGCAGAGCTTGTACGCGGACTCGGTGCCGACAAAGTAGTCGATTATACGATACAAGATTTCACTGCAGATGATAATGACTATGATGTCGTTGTCGACTGCGTAGGCCATCAAAACGACTTTTATCACAAAACCATTCCATTATTGAAAAAGAAAGGTACATTCGTTTCGGTTGCATATGATAACGACGACGATAAGGTCAGTTTAGGCGATCTAACTAAGATGGGCTTCCAGTATGTGGGACGAAAGTTCTTTGGTGCAAGAAAGTATAGAGCTCTTTATGGAGTAAACCGTAAAGACTTCAGCAAACTCGTTCCATACTTTGAGAGGCACGAGATTAAGACTGTGGTCGCCGAGAAATTTCCCTTACGGGAAGCTGCTAAAGCTCATGAAAAGATTGAAACTCATCGCACTGCTGGAAAGATAATCTTAACAACTTGATATGTATTAGTATTGTATTGGATAATTTATTACTCTAAATAAAACATACTTTAAAATCACGTGATACAACAGAGATCATTCCCATTTCCGTAAATGAATAAATTCAAAGTAAAAAAAAAAACAGAATCTCAATGAATTCCTTCCCAATTCAAAAAGGTTATGATGAAGGACTTCTTTTGAAGTGTTCCTTGGGTAGAAATGCCCGAGGGAAGTATATGTGAACGTGTGTTCGGTCTTTCGAACCTTGTTACAATGTTAAAGAGAGCACAAACAATATTCTGAACCGAAAGATTTTGTTTTGGGAAGGTGGTCTTGACGTCGATATTAATCAGCTGCTATGGCAAACAGTATCTTTCAATGAAATGTCTAGTCGCTGCGTGTTGCAAGTGTTGAGAGGTCTTGCTCTTTTGTCATATTTATTCGCAATAAATATGCCCCTTGTAGTTCATGTCAAAATTATTACATTATATTTGCTCATGAGATTTACGTTTTGTCTTTATTGATGTTTCATAGCGAAGCGAAGTGTATGGTAACATACTCGGTTTCTCTTATCCTTATCTCCTAAGGTTTGCATCTTATTTAGTCAACCTATTAACGTCCCTATGTCAGTAAAATGGGAAATTAATATGTCAGCTTCTTTTTACTAATGTGGGGGAATATTCAGTCGTATAATTATTTCTTCGACAACAAACATAAACTATACTCCTGAAGCCTAAAAAAAGAAATATTGATTTAGTCGAACAACTTCCCATTTGCTCACTAGACCTGCATAATTAATCTTTATGTAAACGTCGACTGGGCGAGCCTTGTCTCGGAGAATTCCCATAGTGCTCGTAAAAGATCTTCGTCCATAGTTTTAAGATCGAAATGAAACTCCCCTTTGTTGAGGACAGTGCATTAATAAACTCGGGAATGTCTAGCAGCATACAGACATAAACCCAAAGTACGACCTACCCTCAATTCGGTCATTTATATACATATGATCTGTTCTATGCTTATTAATTATATCGATGAGGTCATGAATGTCATCTCCTTGCAACGCATATAAATTGTCGGCTAGACGCTGGAGTGTCACCTGTATGATATAGTGTACGAGTCCAGCATTTGTTAGTAAAACTTCTATTCACATCGAGATAAACAAATTAGATCTGGCATGCATTCAGGAAATCTCATCAATCATACTCTGTTCTCGTACGATGTTACCGATTGAGCAGATTCCGGAGAAGATTTTGGGGGTGTAGGAGAAGGATTTGGGGATTCGGATTTCATAGACTTGGACGTTGTGGACTTGGATGTCGATTTAGAAGGAATCAATTTGGTAGATACTTTAGGTGACGCAGATTTCGAAGACACTTGCTTCGCTGGTGATGTTTTCACGGGCGATAATTTGTGTGGAGATCCAAAAGTTGGTGTAGGCGGTGCTTCCATTTTCGTCTGTTTTGTCGTAACTGTTTCTGTTTTCGACGGTCTCGTCGACGTTGTTTCTACCTTTTGCTTTTTCGCTAACGTAACGGTACTTGAAGAGTTGGCTCTTTTGGGCGGTCTACCCGGTTTCGACTTAGCTATCTCCGTTGAGCCAGGTGGCAACAACCTCCGAAATGTGGGTTTTGGATCAGTAAAAATCTATGATAGCATATATATATATATATATTAATATATTTTCAACTAGTTTCAAAACAACAGAATCGGACTCACCAGAGTATGCAAAACTTCGTAGTGCGGTTTACTGAAGTTAAGGTCATGCTCAAGCTCATGTGGAGGAATAGACTTGTCAACAAAGTAAAGAATTACTTTCATGTCGAATTCACCCCATCCCTTCTCTGCAAGTGTAAATGGTGGCTTCCGTACAACTATGGAAGGATACAAGATTAGAAGCAAATTAACTTTATTTGTCTACCATTCTGTATGATAACTCTCACATCGACACGAGAACAACTGACAACAGTGCAAGCATGAGTAGCTACTATAAGAGAGTAATTTAAGAATTTGTTTCCCTTACTGTCATTTGATTGTAAGGCTTAGGAAATAATAAGCGTATTTTGTCTTATCCGACTTGATTGTAGAAAATGATAATTACTCGTTAATACAAGCTCACTATAGCTCACCTCTCTTCCAGTCACCAAAAGTTGGGTGAAGGTGATATTCTACTTGATCAACATAGCTCAAATCACGGTCTACTCCCGTGTCGTCCACTGCATATAAGGCCACAGCCCACCGTCTTCTTGGTAGTCCCTCAACTGGTTTTAGATCTTTGGCTATCTCCTACATGTTGAGAATGCGAATAAAACAGTTGATAGCTATTTCTCAGAATTTCATTCTATAGAATTATGATTCCCTCACCTGGTCAGTGACTAATTTTATTTTAGTTTCCACAGTCGTCTATAAGAACATAATGAAGGTAAGTATAAAGCAGTTGAGCGTACGAAAAGTTACTATTGAGCATAGCAAACCTTCGCAGACATGCTTAGTGATTATTTGGTTTGCAGATACAACTTAGATATGTTATTTTGTCGTGAAGTGCCAAACCTATGTGATACGGTCGACCCCGTGGCAAAATTTGAACCAAACCAGTTTAGGATTAGGTAACCAACAATGTTTTATTTGGGAGTTGATCACGTTCACTGTCAGCTCCTTTTATTTTTCCCGTCTATACAGAATGTAAATATCGTATCGAGTAGAGTTTCTTTCATGGGATGATATTTAAAACAGACTAGTTTGTCCAAGTGACTGGTAAACAAATAGAGCACAATTTGGCAATGATGAGTTCATTATTATACGTGTATTCTACATACTTCTCCAAATTATTATATTTCGATCAATGATGAAATGCTGGTCAATAGATTGTCGCTGGAGGTGCTAATGGAACGAGTCATCATTTAAAGTAAAGCGCACACCAATTTCCAATCGAATGTCTGTTTATCGTGTTCCTCGGTATATGCATTCTCTATAAATTGTCAATAAGTGATCAGCAATATACCGCATTTTACTTATTTAACCGGCTAGTTTAATGTCAGGTTTGATATCTAGGTTGCGTTACTTTAAAATATTCTAGAGCCTTCCACAAGTGTTATTGCGCTGGATTTGCTTTAAAAAAAAGTTGTAAAGAATCTACTCACCATCATTTTCTATTGTAGTCAATGTCTCACAATTTTTGTTAGTGTGCGGTAAGCAGCGCGTATATGCTCATTATCATATACTTACTCATGCTGACATCTTGATGGCATTTGCTCGTCTACAATGTGTGAAATCTTGGATCTATTTTGATAGTCCATCTACGTTATTACATGAAATAGTCTTGAAATTTTTTATACTTCTCTATCAAGAGACGTTTTTGTGAACGAACAGATGTCTGGTCGTTAATTATACTTCCCAATCTGTAGATTAACAATTCGTGGGTTGTTATTATTATAGTATGGCAGTCAACAGTTAAATGGAGACCTGTCCACGTCATAACGTTTGCGCTCTGGGATTCGTTGCTTTAAATGGAAAGTGCTTCGCCCAGGGACAGTCTCGCCTTTTTACGCTCACACAACGCGCTCTGTACTTTATGCAAATGTGGCTTTGTCTTTTCTCCATAGTTAGCGTAATACTATTTTTGCTAAATAACAACCGGTTGTCATTATGATAAACATTATGAAAAGCATTAAAGTTTTCTTGTTACTGCTCTATTTATTCTGGGCTTAGACAAGAAGTGAAAATATTGAAAGCAATGGTCTCAGAATCTGGCAAAAAATGAACATATTTATCTTCCATTGTTATGTGAATTAAATCTGTAATTAGTTACATTGTATGGAATAGTTGACAGGACGCGTCCATTAGATATACGATATACATATAAGCAATTCACACCGAGTTCGGAAGCATATCAATGAATTTGAAGGATAAATTTATTATCTGAGTCTTTTTTTAAAAAAACAACTGTAGACTTTCAAGTCAGCAGCACTCAACCCATCGACGCGTCGAAAGTAATAGTAACGTAATGTAGTTATATTAAAGCTCTATCATAGTTACTTGGCTTCAGTAACATCCACGCATGAAGAAATTTACCTAAATTTTAATTTCAAATGGGTTTCTTTTTGGTCTACTTGAATATATGGTGATAAAGTTTTCGGAATAGAATGAGCAAATAATGACACCATTTCCTTCCGAAATACGCGTCTAACCAAAAAGTCACATAACGCGATTTGCACTCTCTATTTTATGCATGTAGACCGACAAAAAACTCGGCTACATAATTTTGTAATTCGCACAATTTGTTTAAGTACAGAGATAAGGCTTTGATTGCAAATTTATAATTATTCTATAGACAACGGTACCAAGGTGTCTACACTTTGCATACATTAATCTCTATTTCGCTTTCTACAATATACGTCCTGGGAGACCCTGATTAATCAAAGCCCGGATCTTAATCCAAGCGAAAATTGATTGGTAAAAAACCAGTTGAGTGGAATAATTTAGAAAGAATAGGAAGAGATTGGAAAAAGCATATCTGTAGAATTTTATGCTTGTCTGACCATTTCTCGTTTTCGCCCACAAGAAATTTTTTTTGTTCCATAATACTACGACATGCGCAAATCTCGTTTGCTAATTAACCCAATAGACTAATACTTCTTTGTCATGTCTAGAAGCATGGTTAAATTCTCATTTTGTCCAAAACGCTTGAAATTCGGTTTAGACACTTTTGACTCACATGTTCGTGTTTCTCTTTGCTTATAGTAACAGTCAATAAGATTTCAATTGTAACCTCGTGTGGATTTACGTCGGTACGCTTTTTTAAAAACATAAAACTTTTTGCCTTCCTAGTAGTAGTGAATGTATCCAGAGAGGGTAAACGTAGTGTTTAAGTGGTGCACCTAGAGAGCTTTCGTATATTAGCCCAACAGTTTAGCAGGATTAACGTCCGTGATCCGATCTAAGGACATCTGTATTATATTCAGCTTTGTGTGAGAAATTTCTAAATGCTGCTATAATGCCTTTATGTTATTAGAATCATACTTTTTTGCTGACACACGCTATTATTACAATATCACGTGGTAGCTGCAAATATATATAATCGATACTTCTGCTGCGACTTTCGCATAATTATTGCGATATAGGATAGCGATATCGCTAAATACCAGCTTCTCCCGCACGAGCAATCAATGGATTCGACGACTCTGTGTACAAATTTACAGAGTTCGATCAATTTCATTAATGTGTTGGCGTTGAGGAATATCTAAAAGTGGAAAATGTGCCTTGATTCCCATTTTAATGGATGAAGATTTTCCCGAATCGAGGTTATTGATTTTGAGTATCTCGCATGTTGTTACGTAGAAATTTGAATGTTCTTGCATACGTTTATGCGTATGCAGACAGCATGTGTTTATTGTCTTTATAGTATTTACATAATGTTCGTGAGCCCCAACTTCCGTCTTAAAGAGGTATCTGTCCATTTCAATGAAGAATTGGGACTACTAAAAATTTCATCTTCTGAAGATTCAGTATAAATAACGAATACTATCCTAACAAATGTAATGCAAGTAAATTAATATAATAGTCCTCTTCATATAGTAATAAATGAAGCGTCCCTCTCATATTTATTTGAGCTCACAATTTCTATGGGCATAGTACATAGGCGATCAGTTTACGCTGTACGTACCATCTTCGTTAATATTCTATGCCTCATTGTGGTCTCATCGTCTACCTTTCCTGCCTTTCTTCTTTGACGATCCCGACCGAATAACTGGTGTGCTCGCAGAAGCAGATGCTGTAGATCCACCAGCTGCAGCACTAGAAGATGATGCCGCCGAACTACTTCCTCCGCTCTCCCGTAACAATCCTGATGGTGCAGCAGGAGAATGCTTCGGAGGATATTCCTGAGGACTTTGCTGGATGGTTTGCAGTATTTTGGCTACACGCTTCATCAATTCCTTCCCTTTGGTAATGCAAGCTTAGTAAGAATGTGATTGAGCGAGGCAGTTTTAGGAAATTAGAATACAAACTTGTCTTAATCGTGGGGTCTACTAGGGTATTGTCCTCCATTTTCAGTTGTACGCGTATTCTACCCGGATTCTCCCAATCACGGGGGTGTCTCTTGTGTGGCTGCAAGCAAAAAAATATCTATTGAGCCGCACATTGCTGAGAGGCATCAATGAAGCATTCTATCACACACCTCAAAAAACAATGACAATTGCAATGCTTTAATAGATTCAGCCAAGTCTTTTGCTAGTGGATGGGGGACGGATAAATCTTTAATGATTTTTCGACCCTGTTTAACGGATTTCGTAGAATCAAAGTATACGGGATATAGACAGACCCATCTGCAGAAAACGAATAATGAATAATGAATACTCTGTGATCGAAGACATTTGCAAAAAATTACCACTATTTACGATTTATATGCACTGTCATCCTTCACTGTTGTGAAGGAGGCGTTGGGAAGTAAGTCTGGCATGAGCTCGCTCGGATCATAATCGGGTGGGTCATCGTATTCTGAAGGTTTGGATTTTTTTGTCATTTCAGACAAAATCAACAAAAAGATTTTCTGGTATTCATTGACAATAACAATGGTCAAAACTGTGATTTACGTCACAGGGGTACAATAATAAATTGGGTGTCACAATAAACATATCAATGTGACTTATTATTTACTGCTCTTTTAGAAATTAAAATTATACATTAAGGTGATATGCATCATGCTCAAAGCATGTCGCTAAAGACAATCAAATCTGGTTAACTGACGTGGCACTTTGAAAGTTAAAGTAAAATATATAAATTGGATTCGAAGGTTAATACAATCTCGACAATAAAAGAAGCCATTTATGAGATGAACATTCCACTCTTACTAGGTGATATTGGACACCAGACAATAACAAATCTATATAGAATGAGGAGAAACCCGCATATTACAACAGCTAAGAACTTTGCGAATACCCAGAGAACTCGTAATTGATTCCCAGCTCTTTCATCTTTTTCCTTCTCTCGTTGTCTTTTCGTATAAGGCGATTTGCCATATCGGTTATTTCTTTAGCGCTTCGTCTTCTATTGAACTTGTTTGCGGCTACTTTAATAGCCAAACCGGGTTTTATCTTTTTGCCAAGCCCGCACCATATCATTGGATGAATTTTGTCCTTTGGCACAACATTGCCTAAAGATACCAGCAAACCACATTAGCATGCATAGAATGCTTGGACAAACAATGTAGAGATTACTAACATTTAAGTAGATGATTATGCAAAAGATAATTATTCATGGTCTCAGCAACAATCTGAGCTGCCTCCGCAGATTCAAATTCTATAAATGCAAAATGTCGTGACTTCCCTGTCTAATATTATATATGGGGAAATGAGCGAACGTCAAAAACGAGTATTACATAAGCAAATGAAAGTATATATTACCATTGCAAAATTGATCATTAACAAACCTTTTTGTTACGAGATAGCTTCAGTTTGTTAATCTTACCAAACTGGCTGAAATACTCGCGCATTTCTTTCTCATAGAATCCATGTGGTATTCTACCTACATAGACTACACCTGGCCCGGCTACACCCGGCTCAGCCAGTGATTCCTGTCGAATAATAATTATAGCAAGGGTCATCAGAATAGCTAGCAGGATAATCATAGGTTGCTATCGGCTTTGATGTTTAACCTCGCTTGTAGAACTTTCTTGTAATCGTTGCTTCGTTTCTTTCATTGCGGTTAATTGTTTGAACCAAAACTTTTTTCTATGCTTGATTTATCGTCATATATCACATGACAAAGTGATTTGCGTTATCACATGATTACGGACATTTCTTGCACGTGCCCATCATCAATATATCGCGTCTAGAAAAGAATCAATTTATTCCCAACAAGTTTGTCATTTACTCATACCAAAAATTGCAAAAGATTTCCAATTTCCAAAATGGCATGCTTAATGTTTCGGTTTGTGTCAACAGAATATATGCACGAGTCGTGTGTGGAAATTAATGAACGGACTTTATGTAGGATTCGACTTATTATTATGGGCGATGAGGGTGATCTAACAATAATGACGGAATTTCGGTTTTACACAAAAAAGTCGCATGAGATTTATAGCAACCAAAAGTTGAACAGAATACAAAAACTGTTTGCAATTTTGCTAAACCGATTTTAATTTAAAAGACTAAACGAAAGAATTTGTATACGTTAAAGTTGGTTCACGTATCAACATCCATATAATCCGTTGTATTGGCGTTTCCAACAACCGGTTCATCATCAGAACTGCTCAACATATCGGATTCACCTTCTTCCTCAGAACTACTCGTAATGGTTTGCATTACATTTGGGGTTTGTTCGTCTGAATTATTAATATCGCTACTTTTTGATCCACCATCGTCTGTCATCTCCGATCCACTCGCAAGCTCTCGTTCACCGTCTTCCAACACCTCGTCGGAGGCTGGTTTCATTCCTTCATCGCTTTCTTCATCATTATTACCTTGTTCCCCATATACAGCCTTTAACCGGCTGCGAATACGTAAGCCTATTACAAGCTTACGCCATTTACCTAATACCTCTTTCTCCCTTTTGGCATTAGATGTCGCTTCTATGTGAGCCGCATATTCCACCCAAGCCTAATTTTAGCAACACAGTATTAAAAATGAGAAGAGAATGCGACCATCTCTTTGGACTAACACTTCTTACCTCCAATAATGTCTTCTCATGTTCTTGGGCAACGACAATGCCATTTATTAGTGGAACACATCTTCGCGACTGAAAATCGAAACCGACCTTGAGACATGCATTGACAATTATTAGCTAGACTCTACTTAACGAAGTAATACGAGATCACCACCGAAATACTCACAACAGCCAGGGCATAATCGATAGAGAGTCTCTTTGCAATTTTTCCAATGCCGTTAACTTATAAAATCAATCGTTTAAGCCTTACGTGGTAACCAGTCAACCAACGAAGAAACATGATTTTCTAAGGAACGTCTTACTTTCAATGTGCACACCACCAGGAGGACACATGCTTGGCTTAAACATGTCAATATTGCCATAGTGATTTTTTGGAACAATCCCCTACATCATATAAATAAATCTTTTGTTTATCCGATTATATGATAACAATATCATACTATCACAACCCCCTTACATTAATAATAGGTTTCGCTCTATAAACTTCAGTTTGCCATTCGCCATATAATGCAACTTCCAGAGGACCGTCGTCTTTCATAAGCTGGATTCGCCGTTTTGAAATAGTCATTGCACGAGATTTAACGTGTTTCAGAGGCTGCTCGCCTTCCTATGAAAGGACGAGACAAATATTCAGACTAATGATTGAGATAATAAAAGCATCTTCCACAACGAAGCTGTACCTTTACTGTTCGTCCTTCTCTCAGCCATAATTCCGCTGTATGAAGCTGTATTACATGATGTAAGCCGAAGAACGTCAGGGACTTAAGAAGTACAAACACATTTACAGTGATACCTGACGAACGTTAGCTCGTGGGTAAACCGGTATCCCACGGTATTCGCCAATAACGGGCTCTTTAGGGTGTATGTACTCGTATTTTTTCAGTTGGCGTTCGAGAGCATATCTATGGTTGGGAAAGATATTGTTGGAAGCAGCAGACAAAAAAAAAGCAATGCAGTCTACCTTACAATGGATGATTGTTGAATGCTCCAATAGAGTTAGGCATTGCTTCTGACGCTGCAGCGGATTGCAGCTCCGCGTCTTCGATCTTGTCATGTTCCTATTCCATTATGAAATAAAAATGAGCACAAATTCTTATGAAGACAAATAGAGACATGTTTCGTGAAATCTCATCGATATTATCGTACACGCTCGTATGGCCGACTATATAGAGAAAGTGTTTCGTGCCACCAATCATATCCTTCTTTAGTGGGTGACAGTCGAAGTTTACGCGTTCGTGCACCAAATTGTAAAGCATAGCGGCGCGTAACATCTTTAACATATTGATCTATTATAAATAGGATTAATTTGCTAAAGTTTAAATAGGCAATCTGTGATATAAAAGGCACGCTCAAGTCTCGGACCTTCGTCAATAGCCACAACATATGCCAATATATTCTCATTCCTGCACGCAGCGGGTTCCATTGCTTCTGGTTCATTAACTTTACCACGGATAGGATCGACACAAATCCATCTCTTCTCAACTGGTGAGTACACTTCGCACCATAATACTGGTGGAAGATCGGATATTTGTTTATCTATTATTGCGGGGCAAGAATTGGACAATTGTTTCTTCGGAAAAAGAACGTATTCCCAAACAACAAAGATGCCAACCTCTGCCAACCGAGGTTCGTCTAGTAATCTTCAATGGTCGGCCGACCGTCTGTTGAGGAGAACTATATTTGTCATCAGTTTCGTCTACTTGCGAAAAAGAACCCGATACATAATCTTCCTCTTCTGCCTTTCTATTGGCAGAAACTTTCGATCCTAGACAACCGAGAACCAACCGACAATTTTAGACCTTCGTATTGAATCTCCATGCCTACTTTCCATAAAAATTATCCATTGACTATTCTCACCTGAGGGAAAAGGTTGAAAATCCTCATCGCTTTCTTCCATAATAGCTTTTTGTGTTTTCTTTTTTGCGTGTCTGCCTAAACGCAAGGGTTTATCTTCATCTGAATCGACAGTGTGATCGGAGGTTTTACTCTTATTTTTATCTAAGATAAATTATGCCAAATGATTAATATTTAGTTCATCATTATTAGAAATCACAAATTATCAGTAAATTATTTCAATGTGAGTTATTTGGCATGTTAAACTCAACGACCTGATAGCCTGGATGATCGACGTAAGCGAATGGGTTGAAACACATCATCGCTATCATCTTCGTTTGACGCTTGGGTATCTTCATTGCTTTCAACTTCTCTTGGTCTTTTCCCCAAACTGCGAATTTTTGGCTTTTCTTCAGTATTTTCAAACTCATTGACATCTTGTTTAATACCGCTTCGGTTTTCTTCATTTGTTCCCTCTTCTGTATTAACATGTTTAATCTTTCGCAGACTCTGCGTGGCTTTAGCTTTTTTTGCAAATGTAAATGATAAAGGCTGTAATGAGCAAACAAGTCTTGCGTCCAAACCGAGTGAGCGCAAGATAGTGGTAAACAACTGTGTTGACGTGTCTCGACTCCCTCGACGATCTGTTAAGCAGTCGCAAAATGCCGTCATCGAATCGACACTATCAGAAGCATCCTATTAAACCCCGTCAAATTCTTAGTATATTGAAGTAGAGACTGGAAAGTATCATAGGAACAAACCTCAGGATGACCATCGTTAAGTTCCGTGTAACACCATGACCGTACTCCAAGTTTTGTAACGTTAAAAAACTTCTTCCACCAGCTGCATAGTTTCAGCAGCGCTGGAATCAACTGCTTTTCACTCACTTTACTTTTTTCTTTAGTAATTCTCTCAATTTGATAAGCAAGATCTTGACGAAGCAGCGAGTATATGAGGGCCTGTTTTCAATCCGATGACGGGTAGCATGAAGTTAACTGTCTGAATTCATTTGATAAAACAAGTCGCGTTACATAAAACAGTTTGTGCACCTGACATAACTCGTGGGAACACCACAGGTTTCTATAACGGAGATTCGCTAGCAAGCAAAGCAAATGTGTCTTGTGAATTTCAATACGAACGCTTCGATCAGCCTTCGTAATCCCACGCGCTCTAATGAAATAATTCGTTCCGTTGTATCATTATTAGCTCAAACCTGATATGAGATATCACAAATAAAATACCTTATCTGTATCTTGGGCATCTCAAACGTAATTTCTATAGCCTTATCTATTATGGGCTCGCCTTTTGCCATCACAGAAGATTAATGAGCCAATCAGAATAAAATAGCTTAGTTGTTATTAATGTCAATATTTCCTAATTACTTTGCTTTCTCGGTATATCCACTTCTTCCCAATCATCACTATTATCGCTGTCCATGGGCCCTCTATCCTCTTCCTGACCATCTTCACGTACAGCCTTTGGATGATGTACTTTAGCGCTAACTCCTTTGTCTTTTCGCTTCAAATCAAAACTGACATGCTCTAAAATGCTCTTTGTTCCATCTGCATGCAATATAATTTCCTTATTATCAACCTCTTTCGATCGAACATCTTCATTTCTTTTTTTAACAATTGACGCGTTCCTTGCTGGGCGACTTTTTGTCCCGCTAGTTTTGCGTTTCATAGTGAAAGAATACAACGGGAATGATCGAGTATGTGTTTCGTCACGATAGCTTTTGCTACGATCCTGTCAAATCCACGTGTGGTGTCAGAAACGGTGTTACATACTACATTATAGTATTATCTATGACTGCTATCACTATGGAGTTACACCAGCTAACTATGTTTGGGTCTCTAGAAGCCTTCGATAGCAGATACTGTAATTAATGCTTTTGAATACTGCCGGTTTTGCGTGTTCTCGCTTCACCTTCCACCCTTCTTGTATCGATTTAAACACGTCACGTAGGAGATACAGGAATATCATGTTGTAAGACTAAAAAGAACAACATTATTAGGTTTAATGAATTTATATTAGTATGGTTAATCATGGCAATTTGTCATAATAAAAGGGGTACATACCCTGGACTTTATTCACTCTGATTGAGACCTACGTCACAATTCCGTTACTTTGGCAAAGTAATAGTATCCTCCCACATTCTTGTCTTTCTATAGTCTTGAATCTTTTCCCAACATTTTCTTTAAACGGACCCGTATATCTTCCAGTTTTGACTAATAATGGGAAATCACTTATTATGACAGAGTGGCGACCACATCCGACTTTTCCTTCAATGCTAATTGCTTCCCAAATATGCACTTTCAGCAGCTTTATCTTAGAGCAACGTTCATTGCGATTACGTGTCCACGCAAAGAGATATTGCATTATTTTTTATTAGGAGGAAAAAAACGATCTCATAGTCGAGTTTCATCTATGGGTAATTCTCTTTCTATCCACATGATTACATGCCCAAGGCAAGCGGTCTGCTGGAGTAAAACCCTACGGATAGTGCAGTCGCTAACCTCGAGTTCAGAATCCATTTCTTCAAGAGCAATTAACGCAGTCAAACATGAGACATGTTAGAAAGATTTCTTTCAGCAAATTTATTACAGAAAATGCATATTTTCGTTGGAAAGTGAGCCCAGCATTAGCAATAATATTAAAATCACGATTTCGTTCTTACAATACAAGACTGCGATGTTATCTTACAGTTTACCATTCTTCAACCCAACGCATTAAGCACATACTTTGTGGTATGTTGGCTTCTTGAAATGGACACATAATTGGGAGAAATTGAGTCTGCTAACGAATTTATGATCACGTTTTCTAAAATCTTGATCCTAATTCGGATTCGGATCAATGCATCCATATCTTATCGTCACTTTTTTATGCGCTGTTGTATTACAATCAACAAGTGTGAATTGAGGATATCCGAAAAGTAGCTACACGTACCTGCAATACGCCGAGCGAGTGATCAAGAAACGTTTATCTGATCATTCCTAGATCACATGCAATATTGCTATAGTAATAGTGTTCTGGCAACAGCGCAATAAGTATTCGGATGTTATCTGAAGGTAGCTTTCACTCGGGCCAATCACTCTGTACGCTAGATCCTATTTTGTGAGATGGCTTTGGTATGTGATTAGAAGTCAACCAGTGCGATAATAGTAATGTTAACGACCGTTATTATGGTGCAGTATTGCGATAGTAGACGATTGATTGGCCGGAAGATCTTTCGTAATAAGCATTTTAACATTTGTATTATACGTGTGATTAGTAAGTGATCTTATTATATTTTCGGCCATTGTTGACTAAACAATGCTACCTGCAAGTATGCTTTAATTTGTTCTTTGTGAATATTCTGTTGGTGGATTCAATACGTTGTTGATTGGTGGGAGTAGTGACTTATTCGTTACCAATCAGAATAAATGAACGTGTAATACAACAGGGACAATGCAGTGTCTGATGTAAGCGATAGTGTTGGATGCATAGTAGAACGGAAGAAAGGATGAAGACGAGCAATTGCAGTAAAAGCATCGTTATGACCATTATCAATGATATTACCTCATACTTTCACAAATTATAGTCTCTAAAATCAACCATTAGTCAGTTGTACTACTGGATACGTTAGTAAGTTCATTTCATTGAACCTTTGCCCTCACACTACTTGTCATCGTGTGACACTAAACAAACGCACAGACCAAATACTTTGTATCGGAATCAATGATGTCTGGTCCCTTATGCATCAATCCCTATCCAATACGGATATTTCATCAGCTTCTGTTCTTGATACGGGGTAGAGGTTATATAAGCAGTTATATAATGACATAAGCAAGCAAAGATGGATTATGGAAACAGCGGAATAAGAGCGGGATTGAAATAAAGTTTTGGGATGGGACAAGATGAAGGGGCTTGGCGAGATAAATGGGTTAAGTAAATCGAACCGACAGCACTATTTGTGTGATCGACGGCAACGAATCCATTAGTTCGTGAACGTCTAAAGCTTAGATATCAAAAAGGGAGAAATCTTGTTTGGAGGGAAGTTTGAACTTTTCATATTCGATTTGTGTCACTATGAACTCACTTTTCGTTACTGTGTTAAATCGCAACTCGTGATCGTAAATATGGGCTGTAGCGCAGTCTCATATGCTGCCATTGATTGTCCGGTCTATGGACTTCGTAACCTTAATGTTGGCCAATACTTTTCAAAAGTATAAATATTTCACCGAACAGCAAGCCCTCAATGCAAGCTTATTGTCACAGATCAAATCTAGCGTAAGAGAATAATTCTTAGAACGAACAATTTATATAAAACAAATCTGATATCAAATATTAAATCATGTCGGCCACGTGATAATGCGTCGGGAGACTGATTTATCAAGTCTACCTAGTGTAATTGCTTCTTTAAACGTTGGAACAAGCCTTTTTTGTAGAGCAAGAAATAGTATAATCACATTGTTGCAGTATTTTTAATATGATTAATTCTTGCAGGCATACGTTCAATTTGAAGGTCTAGAGTTGGTGTTTGGTTCTTAAACACAGAAAGGATCGGCTTATTACTAGGGGCGACTGCTCCCTCGCTATTTTTTTTTAATCTCACCGTAATTTTAAAACATAAGGTGCAATTTTCTCTCTCTGTGATAACACAAATTTAAAAATGAAACTGAAATTTATATTTAGTAAGCATAATAATAAGCCACAATTGTGCCATCAAAGCTAAGTCTTTCCAAACCGTCATCAGTCATTAGCTTTTCAGTCACCAGTTTTGAATTTACATGATCAAATGTTCACTTTGTCTGGTTTTTATTTTGTGCAGTCTGCCCCATATATAAATATTTTGTATATATAAAATATACGAGAAATCTAGCCCTTTCATTCTCAAAATCATACATTGTAATATATCACCGAAAAACACTCACTTAATAAAACAGCAAATGAATATCAGTTGATTAGCATATAATAAGTACCCTGTGCAATATATAGAAAATATGTTGCTTGTAATATTTAAATGATAAAGTCCAAAAATGCATGCAAAGAAATATATATATACTACAAGAAAAGAATAATAGTCCATACAATTAAACAATACATCTTTAAGTTCATTAGCCAAACCACTTGTCAAAGAAACTCTCCGAACCCTCATCCTTCTGGCTATCGTCCTTGACACTAGCAGAGTCACCAGCACTACTAGACGCGGCTGCTAAATGCTGTCTTAATCTTGACTCCAAGGTGCTAGCACTGGATACTGTTCGTGCTTTACGAATGGCGGCTGTCTCTATTGTTGGTGGTGGCGGTGCAGCTAATACCGGTTGTAAGGAGGACGTCTCGGATTCGGAGGATCGGATGGCAGTAAACGTTGGCGATCGTAACGGCGGCGTAATAGAAAAACTGGATAATAAACTTCTATCCATACCGCTCTCTCTCCAATAATTACTCATTGATAATCTATGCGACCTTCTGTTATAATCATTAACATTACGACCACCTCGAGTATCCTCCAAGTTCATCTTCAATCCTTTCGAATTCCTGGCTTTCTCCACTTCCTCTTCTCTCGTCTCGTAAACGGTACTTGTAGTACTCATGTTCGTATTGCCGTTGCTCCCGCCACCACCTACCCCGAAAAAAGACACCATGCTTTTCCTAACGATAGACCCCACTGATTCCACGCTTTCTCTTCTTGTATTAGAAGCACGATACGCCTCCGCATTACGATCGGCGAAGTATGAATCTTCGGCAAACGTATCAATACTGCCAACTGATATCTCCCGCTCATGTGAATACTCAACAGACATCCTACGCGTATGATGGCGAGTTGTATTCGGTGGTTGTTCCTTCAATCCTCCAAATACTCTACTCAAGTACCCACTAATCCCGCCTTCATTTCTTTGACGACGCTTACTTTGATTGCTTCGTGCCTCGTTATCGTTTCTGCCGTTCATAACACTCTTACCAAACTCCTCTTCTGCCTTACGCCTACTCTCTTCCACTTTCTGAAAATATGACACTTGTACGTCATTCACTAACATACGCAGCTTGCCGATCTCTGCCAAAGTGTCTTGCATAAAATGAGTAAGGGGTAGAAATTCCTCAGGTGAGAACGCATAAAGGTCCTTATTGCTTCCTTCGCTGCCATAAAAATCTCTATGTAACGCCTTTACATTTGTCTTTTCCCCTTCGAGAATTCTCAGCTCTTCAACCCATCTGAAACGCTCCCGCAAATTCTCGACGTCTGATAAAATATTCTCGATAAGATTGTTACTTAGACTCGACAGTTCCAATATGTCGAATTCCCTCTTTAATCTACGATTTAACGCTATAATATCGGTTCCTTTCAGTCTATCCATTAAGTGAGTGCAAAGATTGAACAAGGCTTGATAAGGGCTTTGATGATGTGGTGAATCCAGATCTCGGTTATTGGTGTCTGCATCGTTTCTTTCCGCAGGCGTGGATACCATGATAGATGGAACTCCAGTTGGGGTGGCATTCTGAGAAAGTGATGCTTTAGACGTCGAGCCACATTCATCCGTAATCGTAGCCGTATCTAAGTTGTCTTCGAGGAAAACTTCGAAATGAGATTAAGATATGTTAGCATGAGTATTGTTATCATAGTAAAATAACATTAGCGTTGATATTCTCACCTTCGTGTTCTTTGGCAACACCAGCACGCCATGCTTCCATCATGGCTTTGCGTTCTCTTGGACCCAATGTAGCAAACTTCGGATTTTTGAATGCTGGCATAGATAGACGTTCTGCTGATGACTTAGTGGACTTGCCTGAAGTTGGTGAGTTTGATGACTGTGAAACTCTAACTGATAGAGAACTGGGTGTAGCAGATGCAGCTCGTCTTTGAGCCAACGGGGATGATTGTGTGGGCTTGTGCTTGGAGACTGTTGAAGTCGATGCTCCCGTCGATTTTCCTGCACTTGGCCGTCGGGAAAGACTACCACCAGTTGTTGGAGACAAAGGAGTTCGACGATGAGACGATTTCATTTCGTCCTTTCCTTTGGTGTTTATAGAAGGCACTCTCTTCTTCTTGTCAGCATCGTTCTTTAAAGCAGCTGATTCAGTGGATTTCTTCAACCCTGCAGACAACAAAGACACATTATTCCCTTTGAGAGTTGTTGACAACGGACTTACTCTTTGTTTCTTCTTCGGCGAGTCTGATATGCCATCTTTTGCCTTTGCTTTCTGTTGAGCCTTAGTTAGTTTTGCTGAGGAACTCTTTCCAACGGTAGGAGTACGTTTACCGCGCCGGTTCTTGGTGTTTTCTTCCGCGTTAGAATCCTGTATAGTGTCAATCAAGGGATGACCAAAAGAAAGAAGAACATTGCCTAAATAACTTATAATTTTGTAAGTTCGACTGTCCATAAACAGTAAAAATATGGTATTGTACAACAGACAGACTAAGAAATTGACCCAGTAAAAGCACAATTTGGAGACTGGTAAATTTTGCATTTTAATAGATAAGTAAAGCATGATAAAACAAACCCTATTAACGTCTCGTTCTCCATCTGAGTCCTCGCCGGATGTGTCAATATCATAAACTATCTCTTCAGATCTACCCGTTTTATTCTCAGCTGTGGATTCGCTTCTATCTGTTAGAATTTCCTCTTCATCAACGTCATTAACCGTGTCTAGTGGCGCTTTATTCCTCTTGTAACTGTCGTGTTGGCGTCTCCTTGACTGCTGTTTCAGTACTCCTTTTATTTCTTTTTCTAGTTCACCGAGCACACTCCCTCGCGGAACTTCCGGACTCTCAGGCGCATAGTGATGATAGTGATGATAATAGTGATGGTAATGGAGTGGGTTTGAACTGGATAACATTGCAGCAGAACCTGCTGGAGAATTAAGTGAATTATCAACACCGAGACTATTGAGCGTAGGCGTAGTAGGTCCAAGTGAGGATGAGAGTGGAAAAGTTGATAATTGAGTGAGAATCGGACGCGGGACAGTAGCTTGTGGATTGCTTGCTTCAGCTATATCATCGACAGCAGTTGCAGTTATTTCTGACTGCTCTCCTATACTGATCACTTCATCCGATACATGTGGAGGAAGAGCTCTAACGAATGGTGACGCAACCGATGTATTTGTCGTATAGCTTGCGGCGTACGTCGAGTATCCGTGGGCGCTCGCTGTCTCCATGTCTACTATTTTATCCTGTAGAGTGCTGACCTCATTCCGAGTCTCGGTCAACATTTCCTTGTATTCGGTAATCTGCGCTTTCAATTTGTCGTTAGCTGAAGAAAGTTCTCTAATCATAGCTGTGAAACAGGTATTGGTCTCTTTCAATTTGTTATTTTCTGAAGAAAGTTCCTTGATTCTATTAGCGAGATGAGTATTGGCCTCGTGATTTGGAGACGAAGACCGCTGAATAATATTTATTAGTTTAAACGAAGGCTTATATCAATGATTGTCTTCTAGTGAATTGTATTTCATTACTTACATTAGCATCGTCTCCGCAATTGCTTGGCTTGCGATCATTGAAAAATTCGGAAGGTTTCTGTTTCGGTACCGAAATTGGGTATTCTTGATATTCTTTCTTTAGCTTTTCATGAGTAGTATGTAAAGTATCTATCATATCAAAAATTAAGTACACATTGAGCATTTGAATATTCCCGTAGAATTTGGCGCGCGTGAACTAACCTAGCATCTTGAATTTTGACCTGTTTGCTATAACCTTTCTAATGATATATATATATCTATTATCAACTGTCTTACTCTATGCTATAATATAATAATGATACGCTCGATCCCTTTGAGAGTAATCTATTACCATATTTGGCTTTGAGCTTCTTTACTCTTGCTTCGGCAGCACTCTCTGCTTTTCTAGCAACATTCAACTCCTGCTTGAGATCTTCCAATTGCCGCCGCAATTCATCTTCTCTTTCTTCACCACGTTCGGCATTCAACTTATTCGTCATGAGCCTTTTTATTTCGTCTTCACATTCTTTGAATTCCTTATTAAGATCTCGTAATTGAGCATCTCTATCGTCTAACTGCAAAGTCAATGACTCATTTTTCTGGACAATTGAAGATGGTGGAATCGATAGATGTAGATCCAGGGTATAGAAAAAGGCATAAATTGTTGTTCTTTCTAGCACATTCAATTTTATCTCACAGGATTACCTTTTCTAGCAAATACTTCTGTCTTGTTGCGTCATCTCTGTCACTTGTTAGCTTGCGTTGAGATTCTTTGAGTTCCCGAACAATGTCCTCCAATTCTTGGGCTCTTTGTTCAGCAGCAACACACTGATAGATCAGATTTATATAGTGAGTCTTCCAAGAACACCAAGTTATAATAGCACAACGCGTTGCAAAAAAAGGGGGGTTTCTGTTCTAAAACTAACCTGTTCTGTTAATCTTTCCTCCAATTCCCCCATTTCTCTCTGTGTCATCTGATGTCTCTGTAAAACAGTTTGACCAACCTCTGAAATAGGCAAATATGCATTATTAGTTAAACGTATCATAAAATATGATACACAAGTAATTCGTTGACTTGTTCTCTACTATACCAGCAGCCAACCTCAGTTCTTCCTCAAGTGATCTTGCGCTCCTGTAGAACGATTGTAAGCTACTACAGTCCTCTCTTCCACAACAGCACTGTAAAGACATGGGTGACCTAGGAACTGGAGAAGAGGCTATGGCTTCGATGAATTCAAGGTTTGTCATACTGTTGATGCGAGGACGTCCTCCAACAGTCAAAGCATCATCATCACTGTTCGAGTCGGTGCCGTGAAGAGATGGTTCTATTAGGCGGTCGGATTGAGGAACATCGCTGGTAGAGTTGGAGGGAAGTCGATAGAGAGAGGAGTATCCCGGAGCTGGTTGTGTGTTCATAGTGTGATAAGATATCAATAAAATAAAATATATGTGTATAGATAAGAGAGTGAGTAGTGTTGTAGAGTGCGTTGGGTGGTTGGGAGATTGGTGAACAGAAGCACTGTTGTATTGGTGATTCTATCACCCCAACGCTGTGCTAGAGTATAGATTTGCTTCTTGCTCTTTGTGATATCCTCTATTTCTGTATTATAGAAAATGTATCCTTAAGGGCCCAAAGATGGGGGCTTTTATCTGTCATACAGACGACATATCTAACATAGACATGAAATGCATAATGTACGTGATTTATATAATCATGTGACACATGGCATGTGACTATAAGGGTCATTAGGGATTGTGAACACCTGGGTGTTGTGAACATTAATATGGATATGTAATGGTAAAGATTAACCCCTATTACTACTACTACTAAAACGCATCACAATAGATACTTGTGTCCGCAGTACGCTCAATGGACAAGTCATTGATAGACAACCGATAACTCATTTATGATGCAACCTAAAATTTTACATATGAGACGCTATTCTTTCTACTTTTGTACAAATATCGCGACCGGAAATATAGTCCGATTCACAATAAGGGCATATGCAGTAATGCAATAACCGATTTCTGACGCAAAAATAAATTAGGCGTTTTCCGCAGCACAGCACAGTTCCACAGATGATCGCCTTTCGAAATCTATAAAAAGAAAAAGTGTAGCCAAAAACCAAAGCTTCTTATTTCGACTCTTTCATTTTTTTATACATATTCCTCCTTCATACCTTCCCTTTCCAACCCGTCCCCCTTTGCCACTCCTTTCAACTAGCTGAATGTCTTCTGCCATCCAATCGGATCGTAAAATGCACGAGCACATCCTCGTTCCAATTTACTCAGTTTTCCACCACTTTGTGTCTTCTCAAAACTCGGGAAAACCCCGAAATGGTCTCGGTTTACGTCAGAGATGTAAGAATAGCCCCTTGTGGGTGCGGAATAAGACACGGTATATAAAGAATAAAATTGTGCTGCTAATACTCTACTCACTATAACATTTGCATATAACTAACACAAAAAAAATATGATATCTCATAGACACTGCATGCACAAAGTATTAGATATATTCAAGAAGCAGGACCAAAGGGATGAGCTATACCCTTGGGCCCTCGAGAAATATTATACAGTATCGAAAAAAGTACTTGGAACTGGCTCATTTGCAATAGTCAAATTATGTACGGACAAACGCACTGAGAATCAATATGCTCTTAAAATAATTAACAAGAAGAGCATACAAGGTAAATAAACCCGCAGATAAACATCAATGGAAAACTTAGCAAAAACGTTCTCGTTACATCGTCCAGTATCGCTCACATATACACATAACGATTGCCCCTCTCCATACAGGCAGAGAAACAATGCTTACTACCGAACTCAATGTACTCAAGAAAGTAGATCACCCAAATATTGTAGCGCTACATGACTTATTTGAAACGAAGAATGCAGTATATATTATCACGGATCTAGCGAGTGGTGGTGAGCTGTTCACCGAGTTGTTACTTCAACGAAGCTTCACCGAAAAAGATGCTGCTCATTTGATACGACAAGTACTTGAAGGAGTGGCATATCTACACGACCATGAGATAGTACACAGGGATCTCAAACCGGAGAATCTACTGTTTAAAGACAAAGACGAGAACCCAAGACTTATGATTACCGACTTTGGTCTATCTAAAATACTCCGTAACCATAATGACATATTAATGACTGCATGCGGCACACCAGGGTAATATATAATACACTTATTCGAGGCTTTAACTAAGAGTCATTATCGCTCACGTTGGCTTTTCTTGTAGATACGTTGCTCCTGAAGTATTACGGCAAGTAGGTCATGGGAAACCAGTTGATCTATGGAGCATCGGAGTAATAATGTACACTCTCCTTTGTGGGTATGCTCCATTCTGGGGCGAGAATCAAGCGGCCTTGTTCGAAGCCATTATATTAGGCAAATATGAATTTGAAGATGAATACTGGTCTAATATTTCGGAGTTGGGTATGTTAGATTAAGTCACAATTATTGATATTTATAATGTCAATTCAACTAATTCGAATGTTTGCGCGTATTCTGTTCTTTAGCAAAGGATCTCATCAGACGACTATTGACGTATTCACCAGAGAACCGCATTACTGCGCACCAAGCACTTTTGCATCCTTGGTTCAAATCGGCTGCAAACGTTGATCTTTTACACAACGTTCGCAATTACGTCTCGGCTCGGGCAAGCTTGAAAAAAATCATGACCGTCGTTAAAGGTGTCATAAGGCTGGAAAGGCCAGTTGCAAGGCCGCAAACCGCAAATCAAACACAGAATGATGGGAAAACGAACATAACAGCAGAAAACGACAACCGGCAAGCAAAATCTCTCGAGGCTAATGAGGAATTTGTGCAGACAGGAATTCTCCCGTTATCGGGAAACAGAACTATCACGTCAACGATTTCTCACTTCTTTAATGGTAGCTCGTCTTCGGGCTCCGACGAGCGGTCTCCTGTGCGTAATGGCGACATTTATACAATGGTAGACGACACATCACGTCAAGACGGGATCATCGAAGCAGTAGACAATAAATTAAGTAATTCCGGCTCTCTTTTGACCGTGGAAGTTTTATAATAGCTGTCTAATCTCAAAGTGAAAGACAGTAATAGACTTTTAACCGCTTTAGACGCTAACTCTTTTATTAATTCCCACTGCGGCCGACGACATTTTGGTATAATATTGGTCATATTGTATATTATTTCGAAACTGGTGTACTTTAGACGTCTTATTCACATCTAAAATAATTCGTATAAAAAATGATATGTTGTTGTACCTTGTAATTGTTTAATAAAGCTGCTGGACAATAATTTATTTGTATAAACAAAAAAACGGTAATACTATATATATGGGGCATGCTGCAACAAAACAGCTAAAAAAAGGCCAACTGTAACGTGGCCGAGAAGCCACCAATACTAATACAACATGTTTTGGCTTCGGTGGCACGCAGTGGTTCATGTCCAAATTTCTGCACATTTTTAAATCCATCATGCAAATTTGTCTAACATTAAATTAGGTCAAATAAACTTCTGCTTGAGATTATGACAGGATTATCTCCATATAAAATAAAATAGTAACAGGAACCCATATTTAATGTAACACAGAATTGTATCTCAACTTGTCAAACCTGGTTGCTGGCTTAATGTAAAAAAAGTTTACCGTAATTGACATTTGTCTAAGTAAAGATATTTAGTAATTCAACACAATAACTCAATTCGGTATATATAATTGTATAGATTCATGGTTGTTTTCCTACACAATATTATCTAGCTAGTTCTAAATTGGATGATTGAGGGGTTTTAAAACGTTTTTACTGACACATTTGCAGTTTCTGTTTGATAATAAACATTGCATAAGGCCTTCTTTTCAATTGGGGCATTTTGAGATGAAATAAATTGTCCATGCATGACTTTTTTCATATGAAATTCTTTCTGTTTATCTGACCACACATAATAATAAGGATCTTTGATAATTAGTTAATGAATCATTTCCTTTTATACAGCAGTTGATTAAGTATAAGGCTGATAATTCGACAGTTTACATTAATTTCATTATATTAATGAAAAGTCAGATTATTCGATTGTAATTGCATGCCACTTTATATAAATGCTGGTCTTGCTCCAGGCAATTAAAGTCAAATCATAGAGATTTGAATTAAAGGCAGTTGACTGTACAGTGCAAAAGAAAGTAAATACATATACAATTACAATGCAGCTGGACTAAAGAAACCAACATTGACCCAAAATCAAATGGATTCTCCTCTTTCTATGTTGGCCAAGTCAAATAATAATCAGGAAGTCTAAAGCTGGGCATTATAATTATGGATGCTGCTAACATTACTTGATAATGAAATTAAATGTCAGCTTTTAGACACTTTCATCAGATACAGATAAATGTCATTACCAAACAATCAAATAGATCATGTTAGTAACTTTTCTTTTGAATTGATACAACCAGCACAACACATATGAATATAGTTTCAAATCAGTTGCCGCGCACAACAGACTGGAGCTATCTTAGAACTACGCTCGCCATATTGTATATTGACCGCAGCATCGTTCCGTTTTACCTTTATTGCCTTACTACAAAGAAGCTACCCGCCCTATCGGCCGCATACAGTTCATGAACGCGCAGCTCACGGCTTCCATCGCCCTATTATTGGCCGCAGGAAACTACGGAGCTGAAAGTATTATCTACTCGTCGAATCGAGACTAGTACATCTCCTTTTCTTTTATTCTGTTTTCCAAAATAGGGATTTCTAATAAATATAAACAATTTTTCAGATCAGAAAATGGAACTTGATCATGTGATTTTCGTATCATAATCACAGCTAATAAACCTTGCCAAAGGGAGGCATTATTGCCAGCCAAAAAGTTTACATTTTCACAGTTTCAAGGACAATAAGCATTGTTGTTGCATAACATAAACAGTAACACGTTCACCTTAAAGAATGTTTTGAACATGTCTCCTTTTAAAATGGGCACTTAAAAGTTTAGTAACTGGAAATGAATACTTTTCATTTATGCAGTTCTCACACCCAAACCATTTTTCTAGCAAACAAAATTTCTTCCATATTCAGAAAGACAGTGCACTATTTTACACGTCAAAATTGCATAATATAAGAGTTTGCATACCCAAAATATAAATTTTAGTATTAGTCATGATATACTTTTGCGGATTTGCTTACCAAACCTAGTTTTTACTACTTTTCAAGCTCACAAAGCTTGAAAGCTGAGGATTGCGGTTTCTAATTTTTGCCTAATACTAATAGTCCTCAATTAGTTGAAATTGGAACTTCGAGCAGGTCCTCTATGCTGTTGTTGCAGCAGCCAAAGGCAAAATTGTGTGATGACAAGGATTCGGAATTATCCTACAACATCAGTGATCTCATGTGAGATACAGGTCTGGAATATGAGAATGCTTTACTTAACAATAAATGTGAATATTTAAAAAATAGTTTCTTTGAGTTATCCGATGATTTACGATAAAATTTATCTTCAAAAACAGTTATCCGTCTATTAGTATCAATATTGTGAATATAGAGCGCATGCGCACAGTCTGTAAACAGTTTTACGTATTGCAATTATTAGCATCTGATCAGCAAATTGTAGTGACCACTCACATTGTCGGGCATGCAAAATATTTCATGTGAACAAGTCTTTCATGCTGTACTCAATTTAACCAATTTTTAATAATATATTTAGATAAAATAATTTAATACAAACATTAGTACCCCAATTTTTGTAATTCTTAAGTTCCAATTTGAATGTAATAATAATAAATATAAATAAAATAGGTCAAGAGTTAACAATACTACCACTACCCGCGCTATAAAACTCTGGTATAGCGAACCAGAATTGTTGGAACCAAATTATTATTAATAAACCTGGTCATGACCAACTTAATAAATCTGATTCTTTTTGAACTGTCACATGATAATAAATGCACAATGTATCTAATTGTCTTGGTATGCTAAGAGCTAAAGTAACAAAAATTTCGTTTCGATTCCGTTTAATTCTTTTCAAATAGAAAATCTATAGCGATATCAACTACTTTTTTTAAAAAAAAAAAGTTCAACTGGGTTAAATCAGAGCTATTAGACGGTCAACCCATAATTCTGAGAGCACAGTCATATGGGAAGTTTCATGGTTTCCCTATGCTTCGAATTGTGGTCTTGCTAGGGCATCTGATTTTTTCCCCTCTATAATGGCGTTTGCAATATCAAAGAGATTTTCAGTTAATTTTACGGTAGAGTATACCATTCGTGACATGTTTTATTCTATTACTTTCTCGAGCACTCTATCTTTGTAATATTGTACGTGGAGTGGTTGAAAAGTTCTGATCGTGGACATTTCTGTCTAACATATTTAAAAACAAAGACTATAATTACATGTCTGTGGTTCCAATGTACAACTGAAAAAAAGTCGGGATAATTGTCGAACTACGTAACACACCCCTACAATAAATGAACGAGTAAAACATATGAAAAGGCTTTCTTTTCAAAATCTCTATCTGCCCATGTATACTATGCAAATGACAATAGTTTTTATATGATTTTGAAGCTAATTGATTGTATGTTTTGGGGGAAAAAAAATAACAGTAAAATTTTATTATAAAGCTGTAGCATGTTGAAGTAGCTGTCTTTAACTTACGATATAAAAATATATGATTATATATGTATACACTCATTTCATCTATTTAACAAGATATAAAATTTTATTGCTATTTTTTCAAAAAGCACAATCAATTAGCTTCAAAACCATACAACAAACTATTGTCATTTGCATAGTATACATGGGCAGATAGAGATTTTGAAAAGAAAGCCTTTTCATATGTTTTACTCGTTCATTTATTGTAGGGCAGGTGTACAGTACCCTGCCAGAAGTGAGTGATCATCACGAAAATTTACTAGTAAACCATATGGAATATCTTTCTTTTCAAAATCTCTCCGGCACATGCGAAGAATGATATTTTTTTGTATGGTTTGGAAGCTAATTGATTGTGCTTTTCCAAAAAATTAACAATAAATTTTTATAAATTATTGTTATAAAGCGGTAGCAACTTGAAGTAGCTGTCTTTAAGTCACGATATGAAAATCTATAATTATATGTGTATAGCACGTATACTCACACTTCGTCAAGCTTTGATTTATAACGATAATATATACTTTTTTTTTCCCTTCAAAAAGCACAATCAATTAGCTTCCAAACCATACAAAAAATATATTATCCTTCGTATAGTACACATGTGCCGGAGAGATTTTGAAAAGAAAGATATTCCATATGTTTTACTAGTAAATTTTCGTGGTGATCACTCACTTCTAGCAGGTATATTCATAATGTTATAACGATAATGCATATGAAGTGATTTGCAATATTCTAAAATCAAATGTCGGGTGTTTGAAACATTTGCTGCAGACATCGGATTGCGATAAAATTTTGCAAGTCATGAGGGTTGTTATATGGCATGTTCAGAGAATTTTCAATGCCGTTCCCTAATTTCTATGACGAATTAGAAATTTCCATTCTAACCATGGTTATGTACAGTACATCTTTATAAATTCCTATCTCCATATCCTATCTCCATACATTTCTAAGTATCTACTTTTTTCTTTTGTTTGTTCTTAGGAACTGCATAGAGCTGCATGGATTTGTGGTTACTGCAATTGAAATGATCTCAGTCACGTATACGTAGTATTTTTATTTATGGCAATGGTAACATTGTAATTCCGAATCACAACTTGTGCAAATCTCTAACGGTGGTTCAGACAAAAAAAATCCCCGTGGGGGCAATTCAATACATATCAAGACCAAATATATTCATACATGAGCTATCACAGATAGGAAAGGAAGTTTCAGTGACACAACAAATAAAAATATAAATTGACCTAATGGCTTATAACAGCTTAGCTAAAGCCAATTGTTTGAAAAGCGATCTCGCTTCTGGTATGTTCGGTTGTTTGAGAGAACGACTTTCAATCAGGGAATATTCATAACTCTCTAAACAACGTCTTGTTAACGCGACCGCTTCATTCATGGCATTAGCCAATGCTACGTATATATTCGTTATTCAATCCC